AGTTCTGTATGCACAAATAAATAAATCTTTAAAAAAAAAAAAGTCCCCTCCCCACTAGAGACAAAAATCAGAGACTATAAAGTATGACTGTAAAGTGCTACACGAGCCTCACCCCCCTGGGAAAAAAAATGTATCAGGGTTATTGGGTCCATCTGGTTTCTGTAACAGACCTGGCTGGGTTCTCACCAGTCTTCGTTCTGTACTACAATCAATGCAAAGAAAACTGACAACTCTGGCTTTTTTTTTTTTGAAATCATGGACGGTAGCTGAAGTGTCTAAATACTTGGGAGTCAGAGGATATTTCATTGTTTGATTCCAACTGCACACCAATTAATTTGGGAAAAGTTATTTTACCTGCTGGTTCTGGTTTTATTGTTAAAAATAGGGGCATTTCTTTTTATCATGTTTAAATGGCTGTTTGTGAACTCCGCCATAGTGGGCAACATGCAGTAATTCTGCAGTAAGTACAGATGCCTGGACAAGGGAAATAGAAGTACGATGCTAGCTGTTCCATAATAAAAACTGTAGGGCAGGCTTAGGTTCCCCCCACACATTTATCCTATAACTGTCAAATTTGCAGTCTATAGAATTAATTGTATTTTATTTGCTACCTTCAGATTCGATATTTTTCAATCCATGGCCTTTTTGGTTCGATTTTGGAGACAACTGAAAAACATAAGCAAAAGAATCATTACTCATTATTAACATTTTGGACTCAAATACTGTTTTTGACTTATTAGGGTTTACGTTTCAAAAAGGCCCATGTAACACATCCTGAACTGAAAGCCACCTTTTGTCTGCCAATACTTGGTGTAAAAAAGAATCCCTCATCTCCACTCTATACAACTTTGGGTGTTATCACCAAAGGTACTGTCATCGAAGTTAATGTGAGTGAATTGGGCCTTGTGACACAAGGAGGCAAAGTTATTTGGGGTGAGTATATTTTTGAATACAGGTTGTTATTTACAATCCTTGAATCGAGATTATCTTTAGGTTGACAAAATATAAGCAAACTGGATAATGTAGAATTAGATTATGTAGATTGTAATGTGGAACTAGTAAGTTAAAACTTGTTTTGATGTAATCAGATTTACATATTTAAGAATTTTTTTTGTAGAAGTAGTAGCTAGTTTTAGCTTTGGTATTAATTTAGTTTATTGGTTTCCATTACCTAAAGTACACTATATAGCTAGATTTTTTCCTCTAAAAAGATAATTATGATGGAAACAGATGCAGTTATAACTTAAAAGTATTATAATTAACCATGAATGAGGCATATATCAAACACATATCACACTATTTCAGTAATAATTAAAACAAATATCAGTTTCTTTTTAGTGCTCAGCTGTTTCTAATTTTCTTTGAAAAGAAAGAATATGGAGAATGGAGCTGACCACCATTTTGTAAAAATTCTATTTATACAAAAATTGTATTTAGAATTCAGATTCTTAGAATTCAAATTTCGTAAGGTCTCATTTCTCCTATCAATGTTTCTTTCTTAGAAGTTGTATTTTTGGTGAAGGTTATGTCCTTTAAAGTTAATTTTTATTAGCTAATATCCTTCTCTCCCCACTTTGTTTCATTCTTAGGAAAATATGCCCAGGTTACCAACAATCCTGAAAATGATGGATGTATAAATGCAGTCTTACTGGTTTGACAGCAGTTTCATACAAGTGACCCCATGGAACTATGGAAGACAACGCAGTAATCAGGAAGAACACCATGCTGTGTTTCTGAATGGTTTCAAACAGCCTTCCGTGCCTGCCATCATCAAAAGAACTATTATATTCTTTGCAAAAATAATTATGAATTTGTCTTTATTTTTGGGTCTCCTTAGCAAGTTTAGGTATTCATAAATTTTTTTTTAAAAATCAATTATAGAAATAGCCTGTTTTGAATGGGTACTAATGAATGGGTACTCACGATGCAGACCTATCATCACTGGAAAAGCCAGTTGTTACTTTTTATTACAGAGATTACTGATAAAATTAAATATGAAACTTAGGCTGCTAAATTTTGTCATGTTTAGACCTTACCTATAATCTCTTCCTTAGATGAACATCATCATTCTGAAAAGTATAGCATTAACAATAATGTTTAAATTTATATTTACATTGAAAATATATGCTAGAAGGCACTCTATACTAACAGTTCAAAAAAACTTAAAACCTTTTCACTGTCTGTAATTAATCATTTACTGCACAATGTCACTGAATTAATATTCATTTTTAAAAGGATACACTGATACCCTTCAAAGAAATTTATTTGCAGCCACTAAGATAATATTAAAAAGGGTTGTTTTAGGGTTGTCAACTGATTGAAACACTTTTTCAATGTAAATTATTGTTTATGGCTTTAAGCTTTAGGGTATCTGAATATCACATTGATCTATAAGCATTGTTTTAAGTTGTTTATTTCTTTAAGATCTGCTTTTTAATGTACCAGTGTAATCAGGTGTGCCTTTAACAAAAGCATCTAAACAAACTCAGTATCTAAAGACATCAACATCAATAAAATTAGGGGAAAGTATTTCACAACACAGACCAGGAAACAATCACAAAATAGAAGGTTTAATCACTGCTTTTAAACTTAAAAGAAAGAAGAAAAAAAAAGAAAAACTATGAAAACAGAAACTACCAGAAAAACAAACTTTAGTAAGACTTGCTGTTCTGAGTAAGGTTAACATCTTTTTTAAGTTCTATAAACATCGAAGTTTAAGAACACTGACACTTAGGAATAAAAAGCCTACTTTCTTGGAAATGACAATTCAGTATGATAAAATCACTTTTTTAAGGATGACAGAAGTTGAACTTTACAATTAGGTTTTAACAAATATTTTACCACTAAGAGAAATGAGGAATGTGTGAATGACTTAGGTTTTGGAAGGTTAAACAACAAAAAATTGATTAAAGGTAAGCACTACAAAACAGCTCTTGCTTATTTTGTAAGATAAAAAATAAGCAAATTACTTGTACAAAGAAAACTTGGTATCAAGTGTGCAAACAGAAGCATAATATTTGTAACTAGTCACACTCATGAAAGACGGGGTAACATCTTAAATTGCCATATTGCTACTATTGGACATACAAGAAGTCTCTAAAATTCTATTACACTGATGAGTGATGTTAGTATAAACCCTTTATTTACAGTAAGGTTTGTATAAGTTTGCTGGTGTGACCAAACCTTAGAAGGTAATTCCTAAGGGTAAAGCAGAACATAAGAGCAGATAGATACTAGGTAAAGATTCAAGTTGATGCAATCATTAACCCTCAAGAGATTTTTCCAAAGTCACTGAGACCACTTTAGACTATGTTCTGGTAATCAGCTAAAAGTAAACCATCAGCCACTAATAATTACCGTTGTTTTGATAATTCTTTGCACAGAATGGAAAGAACATGAGAAGAGACTCATTTTAGGTGGGAGAGGGACGTCGTTCTATCATGCTATTTGATCTAAAAAAAAAAAAAAAAAGACCCTATTTCACCTTAAAAGTTGTAGAGGAGCTTTACAAGAAATTATTAAATATACTTATTTCTGTGATGTCTAGCAACTGAATAAACTTGAAAGCTGAACTAAAATTTTCCTAATAACCATCTGCTTTATATCACACAAGGAAATATACATGTATTTACACAAACTGAAGTAAACTCCCTTCACCACCACCAAGACGTAACAGTTTACAAAGGACTATGGAATGTGACTGGACACTAAACTATAACGGGCTGGTTGAAATCAAATTTCAGTTCTCTAATTCTGGTAGTTATTTAATGCCTGCACAAACTAGGTTTATTTAGATTTCCTTTTGCAGATAAGTTTTGTTATAAACTATACTCACTGTTTATAGAACTCAAGATACTGACGATGAATATTAGGTTCTTTTGTGTGACTGAACTCTCTACCATATAAATACCAAGATAACATTTCCTATCAGAAAATACCAAATTATCTTGTGTGCGGAACAAAATGTCTTGAAATTGCTTAAATGTACTTAATCAGAATAAGCCAAACAAGTTTATACTATTTGTCCCCAGTGATCACATAGGAATACCATTTATTTTTGATAGACTTAGTGACTCTATGTCAAGAGTTTTCAGCTCAATTTTCTTAAATTGGACCCTTTAAAGTATCTCAAGGAAAACGATGAATGCAAAAAGTAAAATAAGTGTTAGGTTTGTAAATCTATTTTAAGAAATCAAAAGTGGAAAGGTTTAAGTATTTACTAAATCTTTAGTTCCCTATTAGTCACGCCTATTTTTTCACTTAGCATTTGTTGAGAAAACAAATGGCAAAAGTGCCCTAATTTTCATTTTGAGTGAATAATCTGGTTTACCACTAACTAGTAATTAAAGAAAATTTAATGACTATAAAGTTTCAAAATTCTCCACCAATAAAGAGTGTTTGCTATATTACTTCCTTCAAGATTTTAATTCAACTCATTAGGTCTTTCTAAAATACCAACATTCTTCCCCCAAATTAACATCTGCCTACGGACTGAATAAATTTTCAACATTAAGCCTTACACCCCAATATCACAAAATCATAACACTTTTCCATGTAAGGATTAAGCTGTTATTCTAAATGGTCAGAAAGCATTCGCCAATGTAGATACATTTGTGTACACATTAACACCTCCAAGGAGGAGGACTGTTCTGAGACTGGATTCTAAGACCACTTTGTTCATTAAAAATAAATTATTCAAAAATTAGCAGTTGAGGTTTCTGCATTTTTTCTCAGGCAAAGGCTTGTACTGGCAACACTATATGCATACAGGCTATCTGCAAACTTTTCCTCAGAACAAATGAAGTTAGCAAGACGTAGCAGACAACAGAAGCCTCCAATCTTGTAATGATAGGTCTTAAGGCAGCTTTATTTCCGCTACCTCAGATAAGAGCATGGAATTACAAACCTACCTCAGAATGGATGCCAGGGGTTGACGCTGGCAGGCAGGCTGATCTTTTGACTGGTATCACTCCGTGAGTTAAGAAAGTGGATGAAAAGTAAGGGGAATTTTTAATAAGGCTCTGAATAAAGCCAGCAGAAACACTGAAGAAGCCTAAAGAAGTTTCATACCTCTGGAGTGCACATTAACTGGATGAGGACAAAATCCCCAGCTTATTTCTCTGATCACAACGGGATAGTTCAAGTTAATTGTATTGGTTGGAATATTTAACTAAAGGTGAGAGTATACCCTTTAAACTTGTATCTGAATATATAGAGACAAAAATTAAGGCAAAGTAATACTTCAAAAGAAATTTTAACTGTATTAGTACCTACATGACAAAGTTAAATCCCTAGAAGTATTAATATCAGGTGTTAGAAAGAATGAACTAGATACAAATTTTGGTCTACCTTCCCACAGGCACTGCATGCAGTCTAAGGGAGAAACTGCATGTACAGCTAGAATTAAGAAGCCAAAATATCACCTTTAAACATTTGACCCTAAATTTCTATATTTGTGCTCTCATTGAGTTATATTTATTCTGATTTACTGACATTTTTGTTTAGGCATGCCTACATTTTAAAAAATGGTGACTAGTTTGATATTTAAAATAAAACTTCTAGATCCCTCACCAAGTTTACTATTAAAACCCTTTGTATAAAAGATTTCAGTGATCCTTACAAGTAATGGAAAGCCTACTACTTTCAAAGTTTTTAATATATATATTTTTAATAATGGTCAGATATCCCCAACTACTAAATAAAATATACTATGATCTGGTTTTCCAAAATTGAAACATGGCTAATAAAAATTAAAAAGAAAATTATTTACACAAAATACCCTAAAAAATTAAAAATGGTGATTCTAGGCCCTATGGGGATGGGAAAACTGCATCATAAATAAGTTCAAATTGAAATTTTGGAAACTTTTGTCCTATGCCCCATGCTGTTTATTAATTGCCATATCTTAAAAACAACAATTATGTTACAAAGAAGAGAACTGATCATCTCTATTTCTTCTTCACTCATGTAAGCTTGGCTTTCTTCTTAGCAGGTCCTTTATGCCCTTTGGCCTTTCTTCTTAAATTCCGCCTGTCTACAACAGGCACTTCTACTTCTATTTCCTCGGAGCTGCTATCCACAGTTTTTTCTGTTGATTGTGGAAATTGATCTAGTTGCTCAGAAGATGCTTCGGACTGCTCCTCTGACTGATTCTTCTGTCCTGAATTCTGTGAAAATGGCACATCTTCAAGTTCCACCTCTATCAAAGAACTCTGAGGAAGAGCAGAAGATGTTTCCTGGGGCTCAGATACCCCCTCTTCACCCTGGTCTTCCAGTGAGGAAGTAGTGTGGGGTGACAAATTTTCAGAGATTGATTCTTCAGAAAACTCAGCTATCACAGAGCTTGGAAAACCACTGTCAGATCGTTCTTCATTCGGCATAGTAGCAGCACTGTCTGAACTCCCAAAATGAGCTTTCTTTCTTGAAACTAGTGATTTCTCTTCAGCGTGCCCCTTCTCATCAGATGGGCCTTCATCTAGCAGTATTTCTGAGTCAGTTATATTTGAGGTCTGAAAATAAAACAGTTGGTGAACAAATAAATTTCTACAGTTCTTAAATCGTTCTCTGATCCTAGTATGAAATGACATTAAGTAGCAGCTCAAAGGATCCAGTGTTGATTACTTTTGTTAATCATATACACTGAATACAACTCAATTTCTTCTAAACTGTCTCATGATCACCTTGATACATTAAGTTTTTGCTTTAAAGATAAAAAAAATTTTGCCTCAAAAATTACTTAAAATGTTTTCAATTTCTTATCAAAATTCTCCAAAACCATGAATCAATTCAAAGATTTTAATTCCTTGGTGTTACTGGAGCCAGAACCAGGAGTCCCTGGGGACTCAACACTGCCACCTCACCAAGTCTGGTTTCATAAGATGATAAAGGGCGTGTGTTTATGTGAGGCACTAATAAAATAATACTATGTAATATTCAACCTTAAACTTTAATATTCAAAAGTAAAAATTAAATCTCTTGAAAAATATTCCATCATATCCCCCTAAGTAAACAAATCAAACTTACTGTATTGGTTACAGATTGCAAGCAACAGGTATTCAGATATTGGTAAACATTAAAATACTGAATTTAGTAGATAATGAATTTCTTTATCCATTTTTCTAAGCACTTCCCTAAATCTACAAGGCAAAATTCATTGTCACCATATAGCAGATAATGAGTAAGGTTTATGGAATGTTACTGAATCCACTTTCTTAAAATACAAACTATAAAAGTTCATTTTCCTGAAGAGCAATACATGTTAAGGCAGACTATATATACTGTGTACTCCGTACCACCTTAACTACAAAACAAATTAAGTTATTTTTCCCCTACCTTATCCTGTGCAACAGCCTCAGGGGGTTTTGAAGATTCTACCACTGTTGGGACAAGATTTGTGGACTCTTCATTGGAATTAAAAGACTGCAACTTTAACTCTTCATCTAAAACTTCACTAGTGGAGTCTTCCTCTTCGGTTGTGAGGGAGGTCTTAAGAGTATCATCCATAATCTCACCATTCATAGGCTCCAATTCAGACTCCTGCACCATGTGGAGGAGAGGGAGAAAGGTCAGATTAGACCCAATTACAAATACCTAATTATCATAAAAAAAAAAAGTGGTCCCATTCTCAGCTCCTGTTGTCATACCCTAGGACTCAAGATTAATTCCATTTGATAAAGGCATGGATAAAGGAAAAGTCTCATGGAGGGAAGAAGAGATTTGTAAGGGCGGGTCAGTTAAAAAATAAAGACTTCCAAAGTAGCCCATACTGCCACAGCTCTCATGGAGAAAGAGGGCAGGAACAGAATGCTCTGAGTGCAGGAACAGAATGCTCTGCAACACAAAGTGGGCCCAGATTCCACCCCTTTCTGATTCTTCTTATTGGGAGAAACCTTTTAAGCATAAAGGGAACAGTGTCTAGTTTTGATGCCAGCTTCATAGACACCGGCTCTGGAATCTGGAGGAGCCCCTAGAAAGCCAGTTTACTCTGCCAGGGATAGGAAGCCCCACCAGTCTTGTAGGGTTCTGCGTTGGTACAGTTCTTGCTAAAAGAACAGAGCCCTTAATCTCAGTTCATTGTCCAGCCAACCCAGGTCATTCCAAGCAGCCCTGCTCCTTAATTACATTAAATAAGAAGAAAGTAATCTAATAACAATTCCAATTTCTGAAACTCTTCTTCCAGTATTGATCAACTTATAATACTTCTATTTAATGTCTACGTTTCTAATTAATCCTTGTGACATTCTAATAATTTGAAGGTATTTTATTACCATTTTAAAAATTAGAGAATTGATGAACCTAAATAGATTTGGATGGGTTATATCCTCCTCTGAAGTCAAATAAGGAACATTTTTCAGAGGTACACTGAAATCAGAGAAATGGCAAAATCTGGTCACACAGTAAACAGAATAGATTACACACCAGTGATAATTATAAGAAGACTCATAAAAGGATCAACCAGTATAGGAAAAATGTTAAAAGGAAGAAAATTAGAAAGCACCATAAGCTTCTCCAAAATAGAACTTTGGTGAGTAACTAAAAGTGAGAAGCAACAGAATAGAAAAAGTTAGTGCTTCAAGTTTTAAGTTTGAGAACATGTGGAAGAAAAGAGTCAACACAGAGGTAGTTTTGAAAGATATAATAAGCAATATGGAGAGGAAAAGACTGATCTTATATAAAAAGAGCAGATATTGGACAAAGAGGAAGAAAAAGATGGGGACAAATAGTTGAGATGCAAAAATCATGTCAGATAACAGAGGCTTTTTCTCTGTTTTCAACTGTTAAAAAATAATTATTTTTCCAGGAATCTGTAAAATCAATTTTATTCCTTTTCTTCTCATCAAACAGAGGTCTAAGGAGGAGACACTTTGATGTTAAGTCATTCTAACTGGCTCTCTAAGGTAGACATTATAGTTACATCATTGGTGTCACATATTTAATACCACAAATTTATATTTAAAGTGCACTAAGAGACCTTACTACCTAAACATTCTCTATGTTTTCTTTGCACTAAGTGAAATTTTTACGAATTCAGTTTGAAACGGAAAATGCTACTTGCAACTTTATTCTCTCCCCAATTTTAGTACTTGACCTTGCTCAATATATGCTCCTTAACATTAAACACAGTTCCTACCAATACTCCAAAATATGTCATTCTATCCTTTTAACAATATATGATTAAGAAAGCTAAATTTTGGCCTGCTTTATTTAATAAGTGACCTCACACCTTTTCACCATCTTGCTTCTCCAAGCGTGCCTGGGCTTCGGGTGCTGGTCGGGCATCTCGGTCACTGCTCTCATCATCAAATTCAATCATGCCCTGTTCGTGTTCTTCCATGAATTCTTCGGAGCTCTCTGATGTGCGTGCAGTAGACTCCAATCTAGAAAACAAAAGAACACCATTCTATTTGCTATGTTAAGGAAGAATACAAAATTTCACAAATCTGTTGTTAAAATAACACTAAGTACTCAGTCAACATCTTCAAATTTTACAATCCAAAACTTTTGTTCTCTTTCTACCTTGTTTTATAGTTCAATTAATATCACCATCTTCTCAATCATGGGAATTAGACTCTTCTATTACTATTTATCTTATTGGATCTTACTCAGTTAGGATGAACATATATTCCAGTTTATCTGGAACAGTTCAGGTTACAGATTTTGTCCCAGGATGAATACATTCTAATAGTGTCCCTTTTGTTCTCAAATACATCATTTGGACAAATTGTATGGTTTGCTCTACCTCCAAAATGCTTTCAAACATATGTCTGACTTCCTATTCCCATTTTTGTGGCCCTCCTCAAGGCCCCATGTCTCTCTGTACCTTCACTGTTACTTCTCAACTCATCTTCAACAGGCAGAGCATTCTTTATTACCACTTTCCGAGCTGCTTTTAATACACATATCTGTACCTCTGACAGGTCAGCTCAGAAACACTGATGGTTCTCTATGACTTAGGAGACAAGATGTGCCTCTTTCAAAGTCTAACATGACCATATCCTTCTAATTTTTCCTCCTCCTAGCTGCTTCTGTTTTCTTATACATCAGTAATCAATACTCCACCAAGTTTTCCCTTTACTAGATCTGTGCAGTATAATGCATTAGCCCACAAAACACATCATTATTTAAAGTTCATTAAAATTAAGTGAAATTTAAAGTGTTCGTTTATGCTTCAAGTGCTCAATGAGCATACTGGGAATTGGTTGCCATACTGGGCAAGGCAGATAGAAAACATTCCCATAATCACGGAAAGTTCAACTGCACAGCTCTGATATAAATCACAGATCAACAAACATGTCCTCTTGGTTTTGTGGTCATATAGTCACTGTCCAACTACTTAGCTCCACCACTGTGAAACAAAAGCAACCAAAATAAACATGTTAACTAATGTGTGTGGATGTGTTATAATAAAATTTAACTTATAACAGTTAGTAGCTCAATTTGGCTTGCAGAGCACAGATTGTAGACCTATGGACTAGAAAACTTCTCTCAACGCTGTTCGTTGAGTTTCTAGTTATCTCTGAAGAGTGGTCCAAAGGCCAAATCTCTCCATCCTTCAACTAGAATTAATCACACACTCCCCTGGGTGTAACTGCAGCATTCCATAACTTCTATCATTGTACCATCACAATTCACCTTACAGTGCTCTTAACCCGTGTCACAGGCGCAGACAGTTGTATCTGAAACCACTCAACAGTAAATTTGAGGGCTAAGGTGATGTTTTGCTTTTTAGAAGTATCTGAGTAAGGGCACTTCCTGGTAGCACAACGGGTTGAAAAGCAACAGCACTATGAAGCTAACGCAGTCACTGCAGCATGAGTTCTATCCCCGGCCCCAGAGGTGACCCACATGGCGTGGCAGACCTCTCCTGACCCGCCCACAACTCCCCTCAGCAGTGTAGTTCAGTCTATCTGCCTGTTCTGCTCCCCACTCTGTCTTTGGTGAATCATCTCAGCCCCATATCTCTGGCCTGTATCCCAGGCATAAATAAATTAATCTTTAAAAAAAAAAAAAAGAAGTATCTGAGTAAGTTTTCAAATATTTGCCTTACTTTCTATTTATGAAAAGCAAACAATTCCACAATAGTTCTGGGCTGTTCATTCTAAAATACACTGTTACATTCTGTTCTAAAATATATCAAAATACTGTTCAGTGAGAAAATGGTAATTATCCAAACTCTTATTCTTTTCACAAATTACTAGATTTAAATATTTACTTATATCTGCCTTTACAATGAATTTTTCACCAAAAACTACATATGTATTTAAAATCAGCTACACAATAAAATTATTGTTACAGAATTCTGTAACTAAGTAAAATAATTCCACAGCTAATAAGTCCCCTAGGGAACTTACTGAACTATTAACGTTATCATTACTCATAAGTTAAATCAAATAGCACAGTAAAATGAATCAGCTATAAAGAAAAAAATCAGGTCTTTTTTTTTTTTTAAAAAAAGATTTATTTATTTATGCATACATAGCTGGGGTACAGGCTAGAGGCTCAGGGACGGCAAGAGGCTTCACCAGAGACAGAGTGGGGAACAGAACAGGCAGATGGACGAAGCACACTGCTGAGGGGAGCAGCGGGCAGGTCAGGAGAGGTCTGCCGCGCCATGTGGGTCACCTTTGGGGCAGGCGGGAATCGAACTCATGCAGAAGTGGCTTTAGCTTCTCAATGCTGTGCTTTAACCTGCTGCGCCACCAGGGAGGGCCCAAAAAATCAGGTATTTTTAAATTAACCAAACTTAAGCATTATGAAACATTACAGCTACTGTTAAATTCAAAGTTGGTGATAATGACGCAGTTCTGTGTAGTATACAACCACTAGAATATTCTTTTGGATTTTCATACAATAGAGATTAACTCATGATTTTAGTCCATTCTCTTACTAACAGTTTCTCCCTATTACACTGTCAAGGTGATACCACTGGCAAGTGTAATCAATAATCTTAGAAGAATTCAAATACAAAGTTTTATACAAGGTCATTTGCTATACAAACAATATAATGATAGCTTCCACATATTAAGTGCTAGTGATATGAAAATATGAATAAACAAATGGAAGTAAAATAAGCAGTTCTTTACTTGTTTATTGAAGCTGTAGGTGAAGTCTGGGAAATCCTTTCATCTTCACCTTGAGAACTACTAAATTCAGAATCCTGAAACCGTTTTCCAATCTTTGGCCTCTTGAGGTGACTACTTCGGGTACGAGTGGAAACCGGTGTTTTATTGTGACCTGAGAAAAACATCAAAATTGCGCATAGTTTATTATATATTGAACGGCTGCCTACCAAAATACCCAGAAATGTAAAAACTGCTGATTTACATCTCTCTACATGAGACACTTCCATTCTCTCTCATACACCAAGCATAGAAATGATATTTTTTTCCCTAAATTATGAAATAAAACTTTGTCAATATTCATGTCTTTCAATTTCCATGTCACCATGAAATCTATAAAGTGTTCCTGCATTTTCACTTATATTCTCTCCTAATAACCCTAGTTTAAAAATTAGGAAAAGAGAGGTACAATACTCTGTTCACACAGTAAAACAGTGGTAATGGTGTCATTAGAACTCAAATCTAGACTTCAGAGCTGGGTGTCTTCACTTACTGTAAGGGACACAGACACACAATTCAAAGTGTTCTCACACTAACTGACATCAGATTTATTTTTTACCTTCAGAAGTACTTGCAAAGGCATCTTTTAGGGAATCAATCTAAAAGAGAGATATCAGTTAAAAACCAAAGTTCTAGGTAATTTTTTCCTGCTTCATTCATAGGCATCAAAGAGAATCTTTTAAAATGTATTTCAAATAACACTATTTGAATAATATTTACTATTTATTAAAAAAGAAAACACACACACACACACAAAACCGTAAGCTATGGGAAGCCCTGGTTTTCTAAGAACCTAAGTAAAACTCAAGCCATCTAGTAACCTACTGCGACACACAGCGGCATTTCCCAGCATCTGTCCTCAACTACTCATTTTTCTTAGCAACAGCTCTCCCCAGTGCAATTTATCTACTAACTTCACCTCAACAGATGATTTAAGTGCTCTAATTTTCTTTGTGATTTCCAAAGAATTATCTTCCCAGTAAATGTTCCATCCAATTTTACACCCAACTGGTCTGAAACTAAACTCTTCGATCTTTTTTCAACATTATTCCCTAACTTGGTTAATGGTACTAACTGGGTTAGTCATTCTAGTCAGAAACCTGTGAGGTATTAATGACTTCTCCCTTATGCAATCAACCACAAAATCTGTCAACTTCAGCTCGACGAATTTCTCAAAACTAAGCCCCTCCCCACCCCATGTATTACTAAATCTTAGCTCATGTTTTTAACAGTTTAACCCTAACTACTCACTAACCTCCTCACTGATACACCTCACTCTTACCTCATGCTCTGTAGTACCAGTACAGATCTTGGTAACAGATGCTTCCAAGCCATCAATCCCACCACTCCTTTGCTTTAAAAAATTAATGGTTTGTCACTGCATGGAATACAAACTCTCACACTCTTCAAAATGAAAAACTTCTTAGATATCAAACATCCATTTTCTGTCCTGCCTGTGTTTGTTTACAAGCTATCTTTGGAATCCTATAACTGTTGCCGCAAACACCTATCCTTTACAAGTCAGTTCAGTTACCACTTCACCTATTCCAGAGTTACTCACTTGCTATATGACTTAAGGCAATTATCACTGTTCACTTATCTGTTTCCAGTAACTGTCAATCTACTTCTTTTAAGCCTATACGTATTTCTATAATGTAATAACCATATTTATTGGTTTACATACAAGCCATATTTATATGGTTCTTGTGCCTGGCCCAGCATCTACTTCAATACTAAAATGGCTCTCCATTCATCTACTTTCAGGTTATTTACTATTTTCAAAGTACATTATATTTTATAAAGACCAATGTATATAGACACAAGGTTATATAAGGATAATGGCTTCATAACTTTAATCTCCTAATTCCACTTCTACAAATATATCTGTGCAATTAAATAACTGCATAGGCACAAAGATGCATGTATTAATGTGTTTACTTCTGCACCATTTATAAATAAAAAATGTAAATTTAATATGTGAAGCAAATAAATGATATTTCCATATCAACATAGTAGAATAAATAATATGCTGCTATTTAACGATACCATTTTAACAGCATAACACCACAGGAAATGCTTGCAATGAAGAAAAGCAGGAGGCAGCACAAAACAATAAGAGCAAAAATATCATGTATACAGATTCCTGTTTTACAATATAATTTATACCTATATAATATACATATATCTATTATTCTATTATATAGCATATATAGTATCTACATACATCTGTGTATGATATACATTGTTTTATAACACAGAACTATTAATGCTGCTATATCTGGGGGGAAGTAAGATTACAGATTTTTTTCTTCTATATTATTTTAGGTGAATTCCAAAATGACTCTTAAATTAACTCGCCACACTATTACAATTAAAATTATTTTTCAAAGAAAATAACCTTAGAAACCAAGTAACAGAAGATGCCAAGAAAAACAGAAATTATGCAAGTTTGGTAAGTAAATTATGACATTAAAACAGTTAAATATCAACTGAATTTTAACAGTGTACATACAGTTAAGTGCATCTCACTAGGCTGATTGTCTTCAGTTTCTGCTTCATATTCTGGAACAGGCAAAAGACCATATTCTCCAGACATAGGTCTTTTAGCTTCATTTTGAGAGATTGCTGTGTACAAAATAATTTTTTAAATTATAACCCAAATGTTTCTATTGTTTTTTGTACCGGTTTCCTGTTCTTTTAATTGCAATTATACTGTTTTATTTCTTTATAAAAAATATGTCTAGTAGTTTAAAGTGCTTGCTTTCTTCTCATTAAATTAATCTACAATGCGGAGTGGAGCATCTTTTCTGACTTGGCAAATTGTCAAACTCCTTACAAAGTTTGAACCAGCTTTCAAAAACTTATCCTTGTCCTTTCAGTGCCATGACATAGCTCTGAGAATTTCTTTAATATGAAATTTTTCATGGTCATCCTTTACAACCCAATAGCTTTCCACATCTGTAACTATATGCTTGCTTTTACTAAGTTCCTCTGATTGCAAAATACAGAACTGCTTCTTGAATGGCACCAATACCAACATTTCCAAGGTCATCAGTATCTTCTATATCCTCTGTTGACATTCCATTCAAATTCTGCAATGTTTTTACTGATTTTTACAAGAGTCCTGAAAAGCAGCCTGGACAAACATGTCTTCGAAAACTAGGTGTGGCATATTTCCTCCACTGATAAGTGAAACCCTGCAATTATACTGGGTCTAAATAGTATCGATAGCTAGTGATTTTGGAGAGGGAAGCACGAGTTTGGCAGCTGCCTTTGATGCCCTGCACCAAAGTTATCTCTCACCCGTTATATCCATGTGAACTTCTACATCCTGCTGGGCAGCTCTAGGTTCCTTTACCAGTGACACAAATGTTAATGTTAATGTACAACTAAAATTTCGACTCTAGAAAAGTTAACCCATTACAAAATACCATGACTCTGAACCACAGAACACAACCATCCTCAAGCACTACATTTTAAGGGGAACTTGTGTTAAAACTGAAACCATTCTCACCTGCAATTTTATGTGTTTCTCTCTGTAATGCTCTGGTGACTGGTATTCGCTGGTACCAGTGACCAACGCCTTCAACTTCCCAAAGAAGCTCGTGGTCTCCTGGATATTTTTCAAAGTATTGCTTGCAAGCTGAAAAACACACATAGAATTTTCTAGAAATCTCAAATATATGTTGCTTTGGAAAACAAGAAAGAAAAGTCAGGTGACTTACTCACCTTATGGGGCTAACATAACCCTGACTTCAAAAACACAATGGCAGTTCAAGAAAATTATATAGCAGTTTCATTTGCCAATAAAAATGCTAAATAGAAGCTCCAATTAAAGTTTTACCATGACCAAGCAATAAAAATACTAATAAAAGATGGACTTTATCTTTAAAGAGAAAATTGGTAAATGTTACTGAGGGGCAAAAGAAAACTGAATAAAAGAGCTGTTAATCAACAGTCAAAATACCAATTCTCACCAAAATATTTTATAAATTCCATATAGTATCAAACAAAATTCTGACAAAGCTTATGTGTTAATGAAACTTGACAATAATCAATCCCAAATTCAAAATGAAAAACAAAGGGTCAAGAAAAAATATTTAGATAATGTTGAAGGAGAAAGGAAGGAACTGTCCGAGCAGGCACCAAATCTAAAACTAATAAGTATTATTCTATGTCAAGCATACTTTAGTTAACAAAAAGAATATGGGGGATAAAAGAATCATCATGAAGCCACAGAATTAAAGAAACCTGGTGTTAATATAAGAAAATACAAATAGAAAAAAGAAGAAAACTACCAGAAAAAAAATTCAGGAAGACTTACACACCTATTAAGAATTTGGCAAATAACAGAGGGGGAAACAATCCAGAAGAGAATGGATTAACTATTGAAATAATAATGTTAGGATAAAATCTACACAGGAAAAAAGGTAGATCTTGACCCTCACATCAACATCATTCATAAAAATAACAGCTAACAACAAATGTTGGCGAGGATGTGGAGAAAAAGGAACTCTC